GCTGCTAACCGCATTAACTGATGATGCTTTCAGTCGAAGGTGAAGCTGCTGAGAGACTGGAATTAGAGGTTCAACTTGGAAGTAAGGCTGCACAGAAGATCATCAAACACATCACCCTTAGAGAAGAAGAAATCCCAGAGGAAACACCAGTCTTAATGAAGCTCCACAAAATCCTGGCCTCTACCCAGAAGAATAGCACCATGTCCTCCTCCTCGTCGTCCTCCAGTTCCAGGAGCTCTCGCCTTCCTGGCAGCTCCTCTTCCTCTAACTCCAGCTCTTCATCCCATTCTAGCAGGAAGACCATTGATGCAACTGCTCAACAAGTCCAGTTGGTGAAAAGACGTTACAGCAGCAGCAGTAGTAGTAGTAGCAGTAGTAGTAGAAGTAGTAGTAGCAGGAGTAGCAGCAGCAGTAGCAGCAGCAGTAGCAGTAGTAGTAGAAGCAGCAGAAGCATAAGTAGTAGCAGCAGAAGCAGCAGTAGTAGCAGCAGCAGCAGCAGTAGTAGTAGCAGTAGTAGAAGCAGCAGTATCAGCAGTAGTAGAAGCAGCAGCATAAGTAGAAGCAGCAGCAGCACGAGCAAAAGAAGCAGCAGCTTCAGCTTCTCCACCTCTGTCAGTACTTCCAAGTCCAGCTTTGCATCAAGCTTTGCGTCGCTCTTCAGTCTTAGTTCAAGCTCTTCTCACTACAGTGTGCACCACAGAAAGGTAAACATGCTGTATTATATTCAGACAAAGAGCCGCTTGAGCTGTCACTACTACTGTTTGAATATTTATATTGTATAAGTCAGCATTTTATTAATATTCTGTTTTCTATCTATAGTTTTAATTGCTTTGAAATCTCATAGTTATCTGAGTATATATGGCCACTGTGGTTGCTGACAAAATGTTTCTTCATAGCAACCTGCGAGTCATCGCCACAAATCGAAGGAGAATCACAAAGAGAAACACAAAGAGAAGCACAAGAAAAACCACAAGGGTCACAAGACTCCAGTGAGAACCCATTTACACCATGTTTGAAGTATGACAATACTGCACATTGTACAGTTTGCACAGGTGGTAACTTGTGTTGTCTTTTGCATGGCACTATATGGCATTCTTGTAGCATCACACCTCTAAAGCCACATCGTCAGAGGTTTTCAGAAGCAGAAGCAGTGGCTCAAGCTTGGACGCTATCCAACATAAGGTCAAATCCCGTCAAATCTTCTTTCCGGCGAGGGATTTTATGGATGTACTCACATGAATAGTTGTCCCCACAGAAGCGGTTCCTTGACAGTCAAGCTGCCGTGTTTGGCATGATCTTCCGTGCTGTTAAAGCTAACAAGAAGAAGCAGGGATACCAGTTCATTGCTTACATGGACAAAACCACCAGCAGACTTCAGATCATTCTAGATGACATTGTTCCTGATAACAACTGGAGGCTCTGTGCTGATGGAGCCATGTTGAGCATGCACAAAGTCAAAGTGAGACACTGTCCGCCTTATTTTTGGATGTTGAACTAAGCATAGCACGAAACAAACGAACCTAAACCTTTCTGCCATTTGTCATTTCGATTTGTTCTTTCTAGGCTAAAATGAACTGGGGAGCAGAATGCAACCAATATGACACCGCGATTACAGCGGAAACTGGTCTTGTCGGTCGAAACCCTGCAGCTCGGTTGAAGGTGGACTGGAATCGGTTACCGTCTGATCTCAAGCATTGTGCAAAGACGTATGAAACTTCACAGACACTGTCACGCATGTCATACAGACAATATGAAACCATCTGATATCTGTAAATTCCTTTGCAGGATGTATAAGTACATTTCTGCTCACATGCCAGCCGGCTTGATTCAGGAAAAGGACAGAAACAGCGACAAGCAGCTCTCGCTTACTGTGGCTGTAGTATCTGACAAGATCATCGACCTGATTTGGAAAACACCGAGAGTACGAACAGCAAAGTTGTTGTTTCAAAATCATATGTTTTGATTTTTCTCACAATAATTATTCTGTTTACAGAGCACTGTTCATAAGCGGGCTTTGCATCTTCCCATCACTCTGCCAAGTAACGAGATCAAAGATCTTACTCCCTTCGGTGACGTCTCCGGAAAGGTCAAGCACTTGTTAGCTGCGGCTGGCGCAGGTAATGGCTCGTGCCTGTCATTTAAACGTGGACAGGCTGTGTCCTTTTCTGACACATCACTTTTTCCCCTCCTCAGCTGAATGTAGCTTCACCGGCAATACACTGACCACATTCAACAACGAGAAATTAAAGAACGAGATGCCCTCAAACTGCTATCAGGTTCTGGCACAGGATGGCACAGACGAGCTGAAATTCATCGTTCTACTGAGGAAGGATCGCACTGAGCACAAGCAGATCAGTGTGAAAATTGCTCACATGTAAGATTTCATTAAAAACACGAAAGAAACTCTGGTTTTTGACAAAACTGAGTCTTTTTCTTTCTTCTCGTGCAGAGACATTGACCTCTATCAGAGGAGAACCAGTGTGACTGTGGATGTGAACGGGCTGGAAATACTCACGAGCAACCTGCCCTATCATTATCCCCGAGGTTTCTATGCAGTCTAAAACCTTTGAATTGGATTTTGCAAACTACCATCAAACCTACGATCAAATTTTATCCCAGATCTTTGTGTTGAAAAAACGAGAGTAATCATGGAACCTTTTTGTCTTACAGCTGACATCCAGATCAAACAAAGTGGCGAAGGCATCTCTGTGTATGCAGCTAGCTTTGGCCTTCATGAAGTCTACTTTGACAAGAAGTCATGGAAGGTAAAAGCAAAACTGATAACTTTGGTTATGAGCTTAAAAGGAAAAACGAAAAAGACCAAGCGAGATGGAAATTCAGTTAAAATTGACGTCTGATTAATCACGTGATCCTACGACGCAGATTAAAGTTGTGGACTGGATGAAGGGGAAGACTTGTGGGCTCTGCGGAAAGGCTGACGGGGAGACCATGCAGGAGTATCGCACACCCACTGGATGGATAGCCACGACAGCAGTGAGCTTTGCTCATTCTTGGATTCTGCCAGCTGAGAACTGCAGAGACGCCACTGGTAAGACAAAGATATCTGATGTAACCATGGCAAGTCTTCTAAAGAAAAATATACTGAATCTATCAGGAACCCTAAAATCCCTGCTGTGTTACAGAGTGCCGTATGAGGCATGAATCGGTGCAGCTGGAGAAGCAGGGAAACATGCAAGCTCAGAACTCCAAGTGCTACTCTGTCGACCCTGTACTGCGCTGCATGCCTGGGTGCTTCCCTGTGCGCACCACCAGCGTCACTGTTGGCTTCCACTGCCTTCCAGCTGGTGAGTCTACAAAGATTAAAAATGCAACATCGTGGAGAAAAACACGGAGTTTCTAATTATTTTTGCTCCCTTCACGTCCGCAGGTTCCAGCCCCTCCAGCGTGTATAAGAGCGTGGACCTGATGGAAACTACGGAGAGTCACCTCGCCTGCACCTGCACAGCTCAGTGTGCTTAACAACAGCACTGTCAGTCTCAGACATTACATGTATGTTTTGAATGTTATTTTAAATAAAGTGAATCTCCAGATAAACTTACTGAGCTAAAAATGAACTCTGGCGAATTTCAAAAGGAAAATCTGTACCGAATAAGACTGTTTATTACATTTATTGTAACACAGAAACAATAGAAATGAGATCATCTGTGAAATAAAGTGTGAAGCTGAACGCACCCATATAAATTCAGTAATTGCCAGTTTTCCTTCTGGCTTAAATAAGTGATCCATATTCTCCATCCACCTCCCTGCTTTCTGTGATATCATCCACATAAATGCTTCCCTTATACAGTGTGGTGACTGCAATTAATTTGCACATGCCAGATGACAAGTGCTGTGTAATTCTCCAAATTTTGGTATCGATCCAAACACCGATAGTGGGACTATTAACGTATAAAGGCAGCTTATGTAGAGAAGAGCAGTGCGTTATCGTTTATTAGATACATCACAATCATTTTGCAAATTCTGAACGCCTTTTAAAGACTTCTACTGTGATTTTTACTTTGCACAATAATTACTTAAGCCACTAAAACACACCTTTCAGCTTTTTGTGTAATTTGAAAGATTTTTTTGGACATGGAATGTAAATATGCCTGTTTCCAAAGAGCTTTGGGTCAACTTCTGTTGCTTAAATGTGCTTTAGGCTATGAATGAAATTGAACTTAAGAGGATAGAAACAAAGTATTGATCTGATACCAATACCAGCATTGGTATCGAAACTATTTGGATCAATCCGTCCACCTCTACTGTTGACTTCGAATGAACTAGTGATTCAGAAACACGCACATAGTGATGTCCTAAAGTCAACAGAAGTTTTGTATGCACTCATTTTGTGCAAAGGAAGAACATTGAGACACACATTAATGAATGATGCCGTGTTTAGTATACAAAACCAAGTGTATTCTATTCATATAGATAAAGTATTTTATTTTACCTCTTAATAAACACACCCATTGAATGGCTATAATTATTGGTGCCATGGTATTCTTCTTATAGTGCATTTTGTTTTCCAGTCTCAGTCCACCACAGAGGAATGGGAACCAGGAGAGGCAGTGATGATTAAAAAAAATCAGTGATTACTTCCCCGATAGAAGTCAAAACTATAATGAGCGTGAACATGAACATGTCATTTAACATTTGAGAGGAAAATAACGGCCACCTGTCAACACAAAGCTCCTAAAAGAAAAGTGACATTAAAGAAACAAATTGTTTCATGACAAATCATATTAACGTCACAGTGGACTAAAGTCACTATCTCCTACATAATATGTACATTGTGCAAGATGTTACATTCTTCCTATTCAAAGCAGCAGATAAACTACCTGTTACAAACCTAACAGCAACATTTACTGGAAAAATGAGCTGTCACTCAGTCACATTCTCAGTGTTGTAAACAGAGCCGGCATACTTGATTTGATTTACCCAGTCACATATTGTCACATATTGTCACATATTGTCACATATTGTCACATATTGTCACATATTGTCACATATTGCCACATATTGTCACATATTGTCACATATTGTCACATATTGCATCAGCAGCATCTAAATGTAAGATATGCCAATTCTTGATTTACAGTACCATAAATAAGTAAACTAACTACATACTATATGCAGTACATTAATACAGATCCAGCAAACGTCACTCTTAACGCTCTTTCCTTCTTAAGCTGTTTAATCATTTTACAGTCCATCTGTGGGCCTTTGGCATCCACCCATCAGACGCATCAGACATAAACACTGGACATGATACGTCTGATTCAAGTGAACGGAGTTTTTGGCTTCAGATGGAGCTGTTCTTCTCCTGTGAGAGTGTGTGGTCCTCGCTGTACTCCCACTGTTGGTGCTGGACGAAAACATCTCCACAAAACGTGCCCGATTCCTCCACATGTTCCCCATTTGTCTTTGGTTGCACTGAGCTGCAATCACATTGAGGGGAAAACTTCATATTAAGTTCATGCAGGTACATTATGCCATGCTTATTACTAATTCAGAAACTGTGGTACACATAAAGCAACCACACCTGTTTTCTGGGATAAAGCAAAGCGTGCGACACAGGTCAGTGGTGGAAGCCGACGCGAGCGCGACACACCTGGGTGTGGGGGAGGCTGTGTCTGAAGGACATTTGATGAGCTTTTCTGGAGCCACCGTCGCAGCCGCCTCTGTTTCAGCTGCTGGGGAAAAAAGAGGCTGATTTAATGACTGCTGGAATTGATGGAAATTACTCATCACTTAAAAAGAAACTTAGTCATAAGTCTATTTGGATATATTTTCCTTTTTTCAACTCCTGTCAATACGTAACATTTTCAAACCATCTAAAGCAACTGCTGCTCTTCATTTTAGGGAAACTGATAGAAAACTGAGAGACTCACATATCAAAAAGGCACTTTTAGATTTTAACAATGGGGTTTTCTTTGAGTCTGCAAATGGACTCAAGTTTAAAAACTGGTGTTTGAGCCATGTTGCCCGATCCTCCTCAAAGGCCTTCCTCTGCAAAATGAACCCAAAAAAAGGTTTTAAAAACAGTTCAAGCATCTTACCTGTCATATGCACACAACTTTGCACAAGATGTAAACTAATATTTGTTTTTAATCACCTCGTGGCTCAGTCTGATGGCTGCCTCTGTAAAGTTCTTCCTCTCCCTCTCAAAGATCTTCCTCTGCTCCTCCAGAGTCTTCCACTCGTCCCCGAGGCGCTCCTTCTCTTGAAGCATGTAGCAATTGCTTAGCAGGGATGCGGTTTCCTCATCACATGCAGAGCTTACCTGATGCTATAGGAAAGAAAGGAACGTGGATGAATTAATCAACAATTTATTGATTATTTATAAAACAAAATGAGTTTCAACCAAAACACAAACAACAGTAAGTCAGGTGTTCATTCCAGAGTAACGTGAGAAGTAGCAGACATCTCTGATCCTGTTTTTGGTAAATGTATTTTCCTTTCACTCAACACCGATAAATATTAAAGACACTTTCTCTCTGTGTGCAAATTTCAGCTTTTAAATCCACACAACCTCAGGGCTAATTCACCCGTACCTGCAGGAGCTGCTGCTGTGTTTGAATAAAGTCTTTGCACTGCTGGATCTCCAGCTTTAGTCTGTCCATCTCTTCCTCCTGAGTCTCTTGTGGAACAGCATCAGTGTTTTTGCTTTCCACCATCTGAACCAAGGATGCTAAGCAAAAAGCCCAAATAAACGTGTCTTATAAATACTGAATTCAACAAGAAGGAACAGTAAGTAAACATCAAACACAAAGTGACAGAGCCGCTGTATATAAAATATTCAAACCATTCATTATCTTTTGCTTCCAATCAGCTCATAACATTTCTTGATTTGAACAGACAAAAAAACATAACAGGTCCATGTGTGAATACTGACTTTTAATTCTTTGAGCAATCACAGCAGAGGCTTCAGTTAATAATTTAAACAATTATTTGCATTAGTGAGGAATCGTTGATGTCACAGTATTTTACCCTGGCTGTCCAGTCTTTCCACATGGCTCTTAAGTCTCCTCCACTGGAGACGAATACTGTTGGTCAGTTTCTCCCGGGCATGAAAGCAATAAAGCTCTACACTTTCCTTACTGGAATCGAACACCTCTTCCTCTTCCTCTTCCTCCTCCGATGTGACCTGGAGTGAATAAATAAATCAAACATTTTCCAGTCTGCTGGTAGCACATCTAACAAACATTTTTGAACGACTAAGTGAAACAAAGAAGGAGGCTGATTGTTTAAAATTGCGAGGAAATGTCATCAGCAGCTTTAAAATGTGACGGAAGAGTCGCAAAAGAAAAATACAAAGTATACAAAAGGTGATCAAACACTACCTGTACGCCACTGTGTTCAGGTTTGTCGCTTTTCGCAGCTGGTTTTCTTGAACTTAGAATGGACACCATGTCTTTTTTTATCTGCTGCAACACTTTCCTCAGCTCTGCATTTTCCAGCACGAGCTCTCTGTGGCGAGCGTCATAGTCGCTCAGCAGAGTCTTATACATTTCCCCTTCATGCCTTATGAAGAGAAACACAGGTCTCTTATCAGTTAGACAGTTGCGCTCAATTTAAGAGGAAACATCCAAGATTAGTGCCAGCCATGTTTGAGGTTCATGCTGCCAAAAATGTTCATTAGAGTGACCTAGAAAACTGACAAAGGCACTAATCTGCTTCTTGTTTGAGGCTCCAAAGTATAGCGACTAACATAGAGGAGTGTCTCTGATCCAAAAAAGGTTCACCTATGTATCTAGGGTTCTCAGAGTGCCACTGGCCACCCTTACTAACATTTTATGCAAGCAACAAAGAAGATTGAGCAGAGGGGTCATTTCTCTAATGCCAACTTTCCACTCTCCAGTCATCTTAGTCACACAGGTCTAGACACCAGTGTCTCTAGGCGAGTGGTTATTGGAGGTTGCTGGTCAATAGGTGAACATAATCACAAAGAGGTATGCAGTGATGCACCAAAGACCACCTTATGATTAATTTGGTCACTAGCAGATAGCCGCGGTTACTGTAGCTGTCAGGCTGTCTGCAAACACTTGCCAACTACTCACCGAGTGCTAGTTAAACTGTGGAAGGTGCAACACAAACTGGAAACTGAGAATTTTGGCACTCGGAGTAAAGGTTGTGCCTCAACACTGCAACCAGTAAATTTAAAAAAATTGCAACTATTCAAGAATTAGTTGGAGAATATGCATTTTGCCCAGTCTCTAGGATCATGTGACTAAGGCAGTATCAGACTGAACCTCTATAACTTTGACACATACAATCAATCTTCACACTGACAGTTAAATGTTAGTAATTTAACTTGATTCTTTGCAGTCAAAACCCAGATTTGACATATAAAAGAAGTGAACTTACTTTGCTTCTGTCTTTTCAGTTTTCCAAAGGCTTCTCTTCCCATCAGCTCTCCCAATGTTGTTTAATACATCAATGGCTGAAGAGCCCGGAGAACAAATGTGGGAAAATAAGAAATTCTGAGACTTGAAAGGAAAGAAGTTTCACCTCTCACACACAAGACATTGAATTAACTATTGATGCAACGAACGATCTAAAGAGGATTTTACCCTGTTTCTTCTCCTTTTTGTCAACCAGCAGCTGATTCAGTCGTTCCTTCAGTTTGTTAAATTCTCTTTCCTTCCTTTTCATCTCGTGATTGTACTGGCTGGCCCGGCTTGCAATAATGTTCTGAAGCTTTTGAACCTAGGGGATTGTGAATAAAAGAATCTGTGACTTCTAATAAAATTGGCGCCCTTTCTCCTGATACCAGACCATGAAAGCCAGATTGGTCTCACACTGTCTGTGGCAGCACTTAATAAAAATACCTCTTCTTTTTCATTCTTCAGACAGCTCTGCAAACTTTTTGCTTTCAGCTGCAGCTGCCGTTCTCTCTCAAGAAGTCCCGTGTTTTCTCTTTTAGAGAGTTCGAGCTGCTCCTAAAAAATAATACAATGGGCAGGGACTCAGTAAAAGACCAGAAGTGTTTTGGAGAGCTTAACAAAAGGATGCACATCACAATGTTTTTTCAGAAATAAAAGGAAGAAACAAAACTCTAATGCCAATTCACCAACAGCACGTTGCTTTACTACAGATAATGCTACCTGTGTTTTTCAGGTGAGCTAGTGTACCTTCAGACGAGTGATGGTGAGCTGCAGGTGATCGATGCTGCTGCTAGATTTAAGCTGCTCCACTTCCATGCTTTCAAGGGTTCTGAGGCCCCGGCGCTGCAGCTGAATCAGGTCATACATGCAATTTAGCACAGCCACAATATTCAGCTCTGAGCTGTCGCCCGACTCTGTCCAAACTGGTGGGAGGCCAAGAGAAGATATTTCCTTTAAAGGCAGAGCAAAGGGAAAAGTGTGAAGGAGGACTGACACAAATTCTCTCTGTCTTGTGTCCCTGAAAACATTCATTCAAATAAAGATTTTCTTTAAAGGCTAATTTGTTTTAGCAGTACAAGACAAACCCAGGAGACTGCAGTCATGTACACGTTTCAATAGGGCACCTAACATCAGTGACAGCTGTGGTAATGTGCAAGGCTACCAACCTGATTGATGTGTGACAGACATTGTTGCACATTGTGCTCTGTGCAGAAGGTACTGAGCATGTGGGAGTTTCTGTGCAGCAGCAGTGATGATTGGCTAAACTGTCTCAAGGGGGATGCTCCATATTCAACAGAGCTGCTGCGACCGTCCTTGACTTGTGGAGAAAGAAAGAAGCCTGTTAAGTATTGTACATTACTCTACGCTGATTCAGTGTCCAACAATACATTTATTAGGTGTCACTAAAAATGGCTTTTATCAATCATATTTATCAATTAAGTGTTCTGCAAAGCTGAGGTCGACATTCAGAACTGAAGGTACAACACTGCACTGATATATATTCAGTGGCCTCTAAAGACGTCAAAACTCACCCAGGGAGGACTCTGGCATGTTTGCAGTGCAGACCTCAGGCTTTGTCTCTGGATCATCTACTGCATTTGCAGGACAGGCAACGTTTGCCACGGGATCCACCTACGCAGCCTGCTCCTGAAATAGACGATCAGATTAACAGCAGCGATTCAACTCGTCTGGATTACAAGGATTTGGGAGGCAGTGGTGAGAGATGGAGGCATGAAGCTAGAGAGCACGGTCTGAGGATAAGTGATTTATTCACTTATCAGTGGCAACAAGCTACACAGAAAACATCCAGCGCACTCGCAGTTACCCCACAGTGCGTTTATTTAAAACGTTTAGCTTCAAATGTAACAATGTAGCTTTGGTTATCAAACCATTGTCAGTGCAGGCTGAGTATCTAACAGGTTACGGTTTGGGACACAAGAGATCCTCTCATCTCAATGTGCTTATCAGCTGATTAGACTAATCCCAGACAGACAACATGCTTGTTTGTCTGCAGGCATTCACGTTCAAAAACATGAATGAAAAAAATTATGTGAGGAAAGTATTTCCTTCTAACAAAATAAACAGTGTGCACTGACACTACTTCAAACATACAACATCCTTTTACAGCGCTTCACAAGACATCAGCTACTGTACCAGAGTGAGACCTAAAAATATTTCTCTTACTCAGACATTTTCCCCTCTTATCACCATCTGTTATGAGAAGTGTGACTTTTAGGGGACCTACCTTTGGTTTCAGTGATACTTAATCAGTCTGCAGAAACAGATGGCAAGCCTTCAGCCACAAAGCCTGAGGAGCATGGGCCCGGCTTATATAGACTACTCAACAAGTGCTAACCTTTAGCTCATTAGGTCACCATTCACAAACTGAGTCCTGACAGAATGTGTTTACAGTGTAATGGTGAAATAACATAAAATAGTCACTGAAATTTTAGACCGGAGAACTTGATGGGATCACAGCAGAAACTAAACTAAGCCGCACTGTTTATGGAAGCTAAAGCTCTCTGTAGTAAATCTTTCCTTCATATAATAGTATAATATAATATAATATAATGAAAAGTTCAGCTACATCCCTTTACAAAATTGGCAGCTATATTAAATTAAAAACATCTCTAAAAGTATTTAAATTGGAAATGAAGATTTTTGGCCGTTTGAATGAAGGATTTATTACACCATAACTGCGCAGTCGGTGTTCCTAATTATTGGAAACTCAAAAATCCCAGGTAAGTAAAGTGTCCAGTCACGCATTATTTTAGCTAACGTTAAGGTTTGCCGATGAAATTAAATAAATAAATAAAGCATAATAAAGCAAATGTTATTCGGGTTTCTCACCAGCCGTCAGCGCTAAACTAACGTTGTCCACGGAGCGCTACCACCGCAGAACAGCGAAAACAGAAGCCGGAGGGCTACCACAGCCGGACGAACAAGTTAGGTAGCCTCGACAGTTGGTGTTTTAAATGTTTACATCATGAGGAAACAAAACTCACTTGCCTTACGATACAATTTGACACGTATCTCTCCAATGCAGCTCGCACCGGACCGTCTCCTTAAGCCCCGTCGTTCCTAATGACAGTGTAAGCCACCGCAAGCACTCCAAGCATAGCGCTAATTGGCCCACTCGTTGTCTAGCAACCAAACATGGCTCACTGTGATTGGCTCTTGACGTTTTATCTGCTTCAACAGCAAGTATTTATTTTATTTTTTACACTTATTATAATACACAATGTTAGGGGCTATATAT